CCCCAAAACCCCAAAACCCCCGCGATAAAAGATAAAATTGAAGATTGGAAAATATGAGGAATTAAATATATTATTGCTCTTTTAATTAATTAAATAAAGATCTGAAGCTGCTTTTAGAAATCACTGAATTTTTTAAAGTTGCCAAACTCTTACCCCATTCTTGAAATTTTTATAAATATCATCCTCCTCAATTTGTTACTAATCATTATTCTCATCATCGGACGATGAGTTTATACTTATTTTCTCATTAAAATGTCTCATTCCTGAACTAGTAGCTAAAAACTGATCATGAATACTAACTGCACCTACTGAATCAAACATAGCAGGAAAACTATAAGCAAACTCTCCTTTCTAGATATCATAAACATAGATTGAACCATCGCTATTACCAGTGTAGAGGTATTTACTTTATTCATCTAGATCATAATATACTCTTTAGTTTGATTCATTGAGCCTGGAATAATTATAGCAAACAATAGCTTCCCTTGGAAATCTCATGTCCCATTAATATATGCTGTTATACTCTTTCCTGCTACCAACTAAAAGGTATTTGCCATCGTTAGAAAATTTAACTTAAGTAATGCCTTTTTATGTGAAATCTGTAAGTCTATGAAAGACCTTGTTGAATACTCTTTAATCAATGAGATATACTGAAGAATCAAACGAACCTAAAGCTATAAAATTTGGATCTTTTGGGGAATAATCTATGCTAGAAATTGGTTGCTTCTTTCTTCTCTTCTTTATTGCTAATTCAAGTGTCTATAAATATTGTGATTTTTAAATATTTACTTACATCAGGTGCTTCATGAGATTACTCAATATCAAATAACTTCAGAATGCCTTTCTAATGGCCAGTTAATAGTGTTTTATGCACATGGTTAACCCTAATTGAGATTGGAGTAATAGTCTCCTCAACTTGATTTAAGCATCTGAATTAAGTAAAGATTATGCTTTTGTTAACATCCCACATATGAACTGGCTAATCTTTTGAAGTCGCAAATAGGTATAAAGTTTCAGATTCATTTTCAGCCAAATAATCAAACTCATACATAGGACCTGATTCTTTTAATTACTTGTCAAGAATAAGTTTTCCATTATCATGAGCGTAGATGTTAATATTGCCACACTCAGTACTTCCAATAATTGTTCTTTTTAACTGGCCTTTAATCCAAGTAATTTACTTGAAGAAATTATCTTATTTCAATGCATCTTATTGAATAAAATCTTCTCCAATCAACTAAGGTTAGAGTGTAGTTTTACTTTATTAAACTATTTCAGGTATTTCTTAGGCCTCTTACTTATCCTCTATAATTTATTATTATTGTTCCATTTTGATTTGCATAAAATTTCATTCAATTATAGTATTTCGGGGTTTTGGGGTTTTGGGGTTTTGGGG